GGTGAAGAACCTGCTGAAAGTGCTGAACCTGTCGGTGAAGAACCTGCGCGTGGACCTCCTGCACAGGAGGGGCCTGATGGTGAGCATCAGGTGGAGTTGAGTGAGGAGATGTCCAAGATGGAAGGTGAGGGCCGCCCTGCTATCATGAATGAAGTTCCAATGATCTCACCTGCAGAGCAATCTGCAATGTGCCCGAAGAAAGAACGCAAGAGCAAAGGGAAAACTGATGACGATGAAGCAAACGATGATGAAGCAGACGAGGATGAAGAGCAGAAGGAGACCAGGAAAAAGAACAATAAGCCAAAGGCCAAGGCAAGAAGCAAGAAGAGCAAGCAGGAGCAGTCAGAGAAGGATCAGAAGAAACAAGAAAAGAAGAAGGAAGAAGAGGATGAAGAAAAAAAATCAAAAGACTGGCAAGAAGGCGGCCAAGGGGAAGCAAGAGAAAAAGAATGCAATGGAGGAAGGTGACCAGGAGAATGAAGGAAAGAAAAAGCGCACACAGAAGAAAGGCAAGAAGGTGGCAACGGAGGCGGAGGAGGAGAAGAAAGAGGATGATGATGAGGAGGAGGTCGACCAAACGAAGAACGGAAAGACTGCAGGTAAGGAGGAAGAGAAGGTCCAGAAGAGAAAAGGAAAGAAGGTGGCTACGGAGGCAGAAGAAAAGGACCTGAAGAAGGTGGCAACAGACAAGGATCAGAAGAAGAAAGGAAAGAAGGTGGCAAAGGAGCATGAGGAGGAAGCAAAGAAGCTAAAGAATCAGGATTCGAAGAAGAAAGGAAAGGCAACAACGGAGAAGAAAGGAAAAAAAGCTTGCTTCAACAAAGAAGGAAGAAGAAAATGAAGGTGAGATTGCTCAGACAAAGAAAGGAAAGGCTGCAGCCAAAAAGGAAAGTGGCAAGAGAAAGAGTGCTGCAAGTGAGGAGGAGGGGGAGGAGAATGGACCTGAAGAAGAAATGTGTGAGGAGGAGAATGAAAAGAAAGGTGGACGAAAGAGAGCAGCAGCTTCTGAGGCGGCATTGGCGGAGAGGAAAGCCAAAGCATCGCGGAAGTCATCAGCATACCATGTCGCAAAGCGAGCAGCAAAGAATGAAGGTTGCAGCCCTGAGGAAATCGAGAAGCGCGCCAAGAAGGCTGGAGTCTTAGGCTGTACTGCTGAACATGCATATATGTACTTATAATTTGACTGATTCGCCCAGGCCTACAGGGACACTCAGTGATCGACCGGCTGGCAAGAGTCCAGTGCCCAATTTGGTTTGATCATTTATAGGTTTGATCCTATGGGGATTCAACATGTGCTGTGTTTGGATCTTATAGCGGGGCTGTCGCTCAGAAGCACAACTGCCCGTTGGATCTGAAAGATCACAACATCACATGTGCTTTGGGAGGGTTTGAAAAAATGATAGAGTATGAAGCCTGTCGCTTTCTGGACATTGCAGAGGGCCAAGCTTTATTGCATGTGGTGGTAGATCCACTTAAACGCAAGCTCCACTCGTGCCAGGTCATGCCGGCTGGGTCCTGGACTTTCCAGTTTGGAGGCCCGCGGTGTTGGGCAAGACATCTATCACCTGCAAAGCGTGGTTACTGTGGCTTGACTTCTCACCATGTCTGGCCCAATGCATTGTGCAGTGCAAAGGCTCGATTGTTTTGATACCGGATCCGTGTGAGCCCCTGAACTTGTCCCATGGCGGAATCTATAGTCATGAACCTGCTGCAGATGAATGCTCCGAAGGCATCGTGGCCATGACCCAATGTGAACTAGCGCATATCTTTGTGCATATGAAACTGTTAATGATATCAAACCGGAGTGCATTGGCTGTGATCCCCTTGCCAGATCCTGATTGGAATCATCTTGCTATTGATGTGGTCCGACAACGTGCCGTCCATTCAAAACCAGTTCCAATTCTTAGATCTCTTCGCTGGGCAAGCAAATGCCAGTAAGATGTGGTGCTTTGGATTTAATTCCAGCTAGGTTCATGGGGTTGCAATTCTGAACTGATTCCGTGCCTGGCCCTAGGAAGGAGGCTGGCTACATCGTTGCTACCATTGATGAGAATCGATGCCCTGGTGACAGGGTGATGGATTTCTTAGCCCCGCCAGGGTTCCTGTTACTGGGCTAGTGTAGTGCATATGATGTGTCACACTCATTTGTGTTTTGGGCCAAAGGTTCTTTAAATGAGATGTTGAGGTTGGTCCTGTGGATCCTATTATCGGAATGTCCAGAGGCAGTGAACTTAATGGGGCCCCCCCTGTAGCAGCTGGGGAGCCCCAGCCAGGGGAACGTCCAAGCGAACGTTCTGCAATGCGTTTGGAGCTATGCATATACCCTTTGTTAGGGAAGGATCTGAGTGTGTTGCAAAGATTCTGAACGGCATTTATGCATATTGCACATGATCATGTACTTCTTTTCAATCAAACCCTTTCCTTTCATGCCCATAAGGATTGTACTATGCCTGTATGTCATTACAGCGAAACATGCCTACTGGGTGATCGAGCAGCCAGTGCAATCACTACTGGTGAAAAGTCACCGTTTCGAAGCCTTTGTGAATCATACATGCTTTGTAGCTGGGCTCCACCTTGCATATGTGCAGAACACAGTAGTATTGATCAAGGCTCCGTTTTGGGGGCGAAGGGGGATGGACCGGGCAAGCCGGCTGAGGCCTATGTGATGAGGTTCTGGATGGCCCATTATGGTCACCATTGTCCGAAGAGGACTGTGTGCTATTCCAATGGTGGGTTTGTCGCACATCTAGATGCCGGAACTTTGACAAAGAATGACCGTCTTTCTTGTACACTTCAAACGGCAAGCCTGCTACCTAGGCATTGTGAGCTTGTTGCCACAATACAAACAATTGATAATATATATTTTTTTGGACTGTCCTCTGAGGCAAATATGTGGACAAGTCAGGCACTATCAAATGGAAAGGCAATCGCCAACAACTGCGAGATTCAGCGTGCCCCTGGTTGTGTGTGTCAGCGCCACCAAATAAACCTTTAATGTGTCTGGTGGCAGGGAATCTCCAAGGTCTCAACAGGATCAATGTGATCTGTAAACTTAATTGCTAGGGCATTTGATCATATTGGATTGGAGGCTGTTTCAGGGTTTGGCCAAAACCAAAAAGTGCAGTTCCTCAAATATGTTGTAACAGATCCATAAGGGCTATGGGGGGGAGACCCATTGTCCCAGGTGCTACCCGAAAGGATTTGGCAAAGCTTTACTGCTGGGGTACGAGGACCGGGGCAACTTCCCTATGCACATGAGGAATCGGGTTGGGGTAGACCTCAAGAGCTCTGACCGGCAGCTATTCCAAAAGTTGGAGACCGGCGACTTGTGGATTGATGCGAGAATGCCAGAGGTGTGGCATTATCTATACACCTCAAAACATGTGTCGATTCCCTTGTCCTGGCAACATGCCATGAGCACTTTCAACGATGAAATCATTCAGATTGCAGCTAGCCTGCACTACTGCCTGCACTAATTTACCACTGGGTGACCTTTGCAAGTACCACCATACAAAAAACATCCTCGCCCGGGCCCTTGGATCAGGTCTCCACACCAGAGATCCAGCGCCAAGAGTACAACGCTGATGTCTTGGCCTCATCAAGATCCACCACATAGGGTTGGTCGGAATGGGGGAATTGTCCTGTCAGTGCCGTCAGAGCACTTTGGTGTGACAGGGGTGCACTGTCATAGTGCTTTGGTGTGATAGGAGTTCACTTTTGGGCAGTTGTGGGAAAAAAGTGGTCCCCTTTCGTACCGCAAAAACGTGCAAAACGAGCGCAAATCGGTGCAAAAACCGCAAAACGAGCGCAAATTTTTTTTAAGGTACGAATTGGTTTTTTGGAATTAGGCTCAAAGTGTCACAATGACAAGCAAGCTGCACTCTTGCAGTACTTTGGAGTGGGGTTGCGCCATGGTTCTTTCTGAGACCTCAAAGGCTGACCTTCAAGAAAGAATCAAGGCAGGTTGTGATACTATATATGTTCAAGTTAATCTAGTTCAGTATATAGACCTCGATCTCATCCTTCGGCAGGCTTCCAAAGCTAGGATCGCGGCATTGCAAGCCAAAATGGGAGGAGCCGGCCTTCCAAAGGATTCGATGCCACAGGTGACTCCAGGCTCCCGGGTGTTGGTGGGATTGGTTATTCGAGGTTTTGAGTGACAATTGTAAACTGAAGCCAACAACTGATCATGTGGGGAGGAGCTCCTTCGATGGCAGAATCATCTGGGGCATTTGTGGCTGGAAACCCAATCGCGAATCTTCGTGACATGACAGCTAGTGGCTTTGAAAGGACAAGGTCCGCTTCAGCGAGCCCCACAGTTGTGATTGAAGACAGCCCTGGCCCTGCCGTGGCAGAGCCAGCACTCCCATCGACACATGATGCCATCCCCACTGACCCGAACAAAACAGAACCCGTGGCTGGTGATGGTAAGGGCGAGGCACCAGCGATTGGTGATGGTAATGGAAAGGTGCAGGTAGACCAGGTAGACCTCTCTACTCTTGAGGCTGACCTCTCTACAGCTCTTGAGGGTGTAAAGCCCGCTGCCAAGACTGCCCCAACAGAGCAGGTGGAAACCAACGCTGAGCCAGCCCAGGTACAAGCTCCTGTGGTTGCAGAACCCTCTGGGAACGGGGGGTGGGAAGACTTCACCCCCACCCACACCTGAAAGCCAATGGAGGCTGCCAGATTCCGGCATGCGCTTTCACACTGCACCCCCCTGCCCTGGATCCAGCGAGATCAAAGAGTTTTGAATCTATTCCTTTAGGGTTCTCACCTTCGTCGAGAAAAAGCACCTCAAGGTCTTCTGAGAAATCAACAGCCACAGCAGAGAAGTATGATCGATATTACTACCAGTACCTAGGCATTCATTTATATATGTTGACCAAATATATATATATATATATGTTCAAGCCCTTAGGGTTTTGCAGGGAACAGCCAAAACTAAGGATGCTCCGCTACTGTAAGCCCAAGAAGGGAGGTTGCACGGCATCCAAGGAGGCTATGAGTCTTTACAATGACAAGGATGGAGGAGGTCGCCCCTTTGATCATATATGGTTTGCATCAATTGCCAATGACCCCATAAATATATATTTCCCAAACTTGTGGGCATCCCAGGTGACAAGCTCAAGAAAATGCTTGAGACTCATGGGGACTTCAAGACTGTCGAGCTGAAACTTGAAAGGTACCGAAACCTGATCCAAACGCGCACAGCAGGTGGCCGATGGTGCACCAAGAAGTACTTGGCTGATGTGGAACATTATTCCACTTCAATGATTGAGAATTCTTGGAGACATGCTGCCAGCAAAGGTTTGGTCAGAAAGAACCCTGTCCATGGGGAAGAAGAAGCCAAACTAGTTCTCGAGGAATCCTTCTCAAAAAAGGATGAGATGGGAGAGTCGCAGCGACTTTCCCAACAGGGAGACTTCGAGGATAGGGGTGTATGCTCACATATATGATTCATGGGCTGTTTGTTGAGATATCACCTATATAGGGTTTGTTCACTCCATATTGGGTTTCTGCAGGATGAAGAGGGCATCCTGTTCGATTCTGAGCTCGGAGATGTCAATGTCGAGCCCGATGCGCATTCCACGCCTGCGGATCGAGAGGCTGCCGCAAAGCAGGCAGCTGCTGCAGCCACAGCTGCCTCAGGTGGTCACTCCAAGTTACTTGAAGCTAATAGTGGATGGTATGTGCACCTGATTGTTTCTATCTTGTGTTGCGGCGATCTATTTTTTTCCGTTTCTCAAGGCTTGTATTCCCAACGCTGCAGAAGAATGAGAGTGTCTTCACAATACTTCCCCAGTATATAGCTGTGCTGGGGAAAAAAGGTGGATGCTGCACAGATGCAACAGGAGTGGGTTTCTTTGGGGGGAGCTCTCTATGCACTTGTAAGCTATAGATATGTTGAAGAATGTTTGAAAAGGACAAGCTGGAAAAGTCATCGCTAAGCAGTGACCTTGCCAAGACGTTGCCTGGCTGCTGTTGGTTCTTGGATTGATTATATACGTACACTCTTTCTGGGCCCCAACACTGATGACTTATGTTTGCTGAAAGACTTTAAAACCAGGTTGGTTGGGCACATGAAAACACTGCTGAGCAACATGAACAAATACTACAATGACCTCAGCGACAAGCAAGCGGAGTACCTGACCATGGACCCGTCTCAGCCCGGAGCTAAAACCTGTAGAGAAGTTGTATCTTTTGTTGCTTACCTAGAAGAAAACTTGTAGTCCACCAGTATCTAATGGACAACTCGCCAGGGGCATTGAAGAGAAGAAGAAGGAGGTCATGACCATTTTTGCTAAGTGCACAAAGGATGATGTGTCTTTGAATAACTTCCTTGCACGCGCAAAGACCTTTGTTAGCACAAAAGCTGTCACTTTTCCTCATACCCTGTTCAGTTCAGTTAATTACTGTATCCTGCTATGCTCATTCCCTAGCTTCTTGAAGCCAAGGAATTTCAAGGGCAACACTTCACCCGGGTCCACAAAAGCTTCTGAGAAGGCAAAATCTAGGAAGCCTCGCAAATCGAAGAAACGCGATGAGGCAAAAACCACAAAGCCTGCAGGGAAGGAGGTTGCGCCCAAAAAGGGCAATGACTCCAAATCCAAGAAGCGCAAGGGCGCTGAAGCATGAATTGTGATCTTTTTTTGTGCTAAGTCTCAAATGCCAAAATGAACAACTTAAGAATGTCGGTTCCTCAAGGATATGAAACTTTTTTGTGTCTTTCCTAGCCACCATGGCATTGAGGCATGCAGTTGTGTTGATGGACACAAGCCTGCCCTTTGAAGTGATCGAACATTGCAATTCGATATATACAGTATGCATTGTGGGGACATGTCACATTAGGTCTCTTCATGAGATCGTTGGAGCGGATCGATACTCAAAAAAAGGTGCCTGTTGGGTAGCTGAGCATTTTGGCAGGCATGCAACATGTAGCTTGATGCTGTCCCCCTTCCTGTGGAGGCCTCGATGGCAGTCCTCTGTGTGAACCAGAAGGCAGTGCCTCATAGTCAATGGTTTGTGGGCGAACCCGGCTTGGGGAAACATATATGGTCTCTAAGGGTGTTCCCTTACTGTCCAAATAAAGGCCAGTAAACACTCAATTCTTGGGGTACCTTTCAGCTGTTTGAGAAGTTGTGTGGAGCTAAACAGTCTTAAGGGCACCCCCATAAATAGCCGTTTGGGTGCTCGTGTTGGTCAGGTGATAGCTCTTCGGACACCGATGACTTGGCTGGTGAACTTCTACAACAAGCCGAAACTGGAGTTCCTTGGCTTAAGGCTTAGTTGGAACAACCTTGACAGTGGGACCTGGGACAAGTTATCAATTCTATTTCTTCACTGCGCGAGGCTTCTTCAGCCAGGGCGGTTGTTAGAATGTCAACCGTGGCTTCAAGAAGACTGGCGAAGCTAGGCAGGACAGGGTACTTGTTGGACTCAAGCGCTGGCCGAAATTGTGTGACCAGTTGTTCAGGTGTGGTGGACCCGGACTTGGAGCCGCTGGCGCGCTATGGTCGCTCCAAGACTGGGAAGAGTGGGAACAATGCGTCGAGGGATTTCCACAGGTTCATCCACAGGTCAGCAAAGGTGTTTGCTGTTCAGATTTCAACCACGAACCTCCTCATCAAAGTGAAAAAGCCAAACAAGAGTGGCCGCAGAATCAAGAAGGAGGAAACCGTTGATTTTCCCATCATCTTGCTATCATCGTGGATGCAAAGCATACTTCCAACCTGCCCTCAATTCTTTCTGGGCGGGCTTGCTTTGGAAGATCGATCCTTGTATCATGACATGCTGCAGAGCTATTGGGAAGGGTTCTTGTCCAATTACCCGGACCACCTGATCAAGAACAAGCCTGTGGCCTTCAAGCGGAACTGCATACCGATAGCTGTTCATGGCGATGAAGGGCGTACCCTTGGGAAAACACCCTTGTTGGTCATTAGCTATCAGGTGGTGATTCCTCACAATGGGCCCAATGAGCTCAATATCAAAAAGACTTCTGGCCTGCACCCAAACTATTTTTTTCATTGTGCTCCATTTGTTAGAGGGATACTTTTATGACTTGGTGCCCATGGTCTCTCTCAAACAGCAGATGGACTCAGGCACTCCTTCACCACCCGTCTGCTCAACACGTTGATCCCGGCCACGTGGTACGCGTCCAAGGATGCCAGCATCTCGGGCCTTTGTAAAGCACTCGCAGATGACATGACCAAACTCTATGAGACTGGGGTCACCGTGGATGTGTCCTAGCCAAAAAAATCTTCCTGGAGTATGATGTTCTTTTTGTTTCTTCTTTTGTGAAGGTGCCAGGAACCATGTCTTGTATAATATATAGCTTATGGGCAATGCAGGGTGGTCACCATTTCTACGCTTGCCTGGTGGCCATCAAGGGAGATTGGCCATGGCTGAGAAAGTGCATGCATCTCTATGCAGGGTTCACCTCCCGCCGGATCTGCCATAAATGTCCAGGAGAAGTACCCCAACTGATCTTGTAAATGTTCTAGTGGTTTGGCTAGTTGGCAACCCCTACATGTCTTACTTTTTTCTTCTGTTGGCAAGAAAGGTGGGTTTGGTTAGCTCTTCTTGAGCCATGTAAGGCTTGGTGGGATTTCAGTGCTTCTGGTCAGGCCCGAACATTTGTGGGAGAGACGCCCGACCCGTTCAAGCGTGGGGAGATTTCACCTCTCCGTCTCATCCCTGGCTGCGCAAGTGTCACAACGATAAAGACGGACGTTATGCACACGTTCAATCTGGGCTTTGGAGGAGACCTTGCATCAAGCACAATTGTTCTACTGGGCAAATTGGGTGTGTTCGAGGGAAGGAGTTTGGCGGCCAGATTGGATCATGCTTATGATTCCTTTTCTTTGTGGTGCACTACTCATCACAAAACGCCCAGCACGAAGTCATTTGAGAAGTCTAGATTCCACATGAAAGTGACTCTTGGATCACATCAGGATTTTCCAGGGTGATATTTTCATGGAGTTCCCCTGTAGCTTCAACATCTTCCCCACCGCACCTGCCCCAAATCAGGAATGATGATTATCCACAAGGACTTTCGCGTGCGCACGACGTGGCGCTGCTGTGCAAATGGTTGACTGACCTTGTGAAAGGGTTGAGTGGTGATGAAGCAACATGGCTATGCCTGTGGTTTTGGAAAGTTTGTGTGTTGTACTGTGGTGGAAGCCTCCAAGAACATATTGAGGGTTCTTAGCTAGGTTTGTGGGTCTACCTCAGTCATTTGCGCCCAGGTGCCGCATGATAGCCAACAGTTGTGGCAGGTTTTACGCTACACGTTGGATGCAACCAATACATTCTTCAAAGTCATCTACCACCAGGGACTCTGGATGACCACAGAAGCTGCAAAGGTAGCAGTGGCAAACGGCTATAAGGCTGTGGCAACTCTGCTTGATGAAAAGATTCTTTTATATATATATATATACATATACATACACAAGTTTGGGGTGGCCTTTAATAGATCGTGATCGTGCTCTGTTTTGATAAGCCAAACACTCCTGTAAGGAAGGATATGGAAGCCTAGCTAGCATGAGCGCAGCAAAGGGGTGGCGGCTATTCCGAGTTCGACCAAAGTGCCACCTCTTCTGCCACATTGTGAGCCTAAACCTGTACAGGTTTGCCCATTCTGAAGCTGTTCAATGCATAGCATAGGGGAGGTTAAGCTATCTGTCTGTCAATATTTTATCAAAAAACAGCCTTCAGTGGGCTTGAACAATGTACATAGTTTTTTGACATAACCAAACATGGATGGGGAGATGTGTCATCCTTCTTCCAGCCAAGGAAGGATCTCGAGAATGCCTTGATGGACGGGGCCAGGTGGCTGGAAAATCCAGTCAGAACCTTTGCACATATTATAAGGATCCTTTAGGCACATGTTTTCTTGTGGGTCTGTGGTCTGTGATAGTGAGCCCTCCATGTGATTTCCCCTTCATTCACACAACACTGAAGGTTGGTCCTGCTGGTCGGATGAGGACTATGTTGGCAGGGTTTCAAGGCTGAGCCGGCGGGTGAACGCCAATAGAATGGTGACGCTGCGAGTCATGAGTAGACTGCTCATGTCCTACCAGCGACATTTTCGCAGACTCGCTGGGACCCCGGGCAAGTGAGCTCCGCGATGAGGAAGAATGTGCATGCATGTGTGCTGGGAAGGGCTGGGTGGAATGGAGTGGCAACCATCAAGGGATGTCAAAACCTCTCGTCCTCTTTTTCACCAAACGAGCGTTTTCTGGGAAACGCTTGAAAAAACACCAGCACGTCACATAAACAAATCGTATCAGAAATTTAAGTAGCAATGGATGACCCTGGATGTATGCACCTGGTCGCTTCCCCGATCACTTCACCATCCTTCCATCTTCACCAAATGCTTCGACCGCACTCGTGTCGAGTGGGGCCGCCCGTGTGTGCCGCACCGCGGATGGGTTTGAGGCCTCGTTGATGGCTTCATCTCGCGTTCGACCCACAAAGACCTGGCTTTGGCTTCATCCACCGGGAGATGGCATCAGGCTGTGAGGAACTGGAGGCGACTGGTTCGGGCTGGGCTCCGTCACGACCCATCTGCGCCATCCACAACGGAAGTGTGGAGAAGCATGCACATCCTGCTGGCACACTCATACAAACAGTGTCGAACCCAAGGCTGAGGCTCGCAACTTTCTGCGCAGTGAGTGAACTTGTTCTTTCCAGGGCTGTGTTGGAGGGTTAGCAACTTTTTGCTCTGTGCTTCCTTGCGAAGTCTCCAACCTAATAGCGATGGCCTCCAACCTGATCGCAATGGCCTCGAACCTAATAGCGATGGCCTCCAATCAAATAGCGATGGCCTCCAACCTAACCTAATAGCAATGGGCTCCAACCTAATAGCAATGGCCTCCAACATAAGAGCGATGGCCTCCAACCTACGAGCGATGGCCTCCAACCTAAGAGCGATGGCCTCCAACCTATCCGCGATGGCCTCTAACCTACTAGCGATGGCCTCCAACCCAATACCTTTGTGACTTGAAGCAATAATTAGTGTTGTTTCTAATTATGTGTTCTTCATGTCAGATTCCAATCTGCGAGCTACCATTGCTGGACACTCCAGCGAACCATCCCAACTTCACTTTCATGTTTGCATCGCACTGCTCCGCACCGATTTCTTCCACTTCACTTGAATTATCAAGATCGGGCCGGCAACACGAAGACCACGAAGATCGGGATGCATTGCAGAATGCAAAGTGCGATGCCACCCCAAACCTCAAGACCCACGACCTTTCTTTCGGACGTTGGTTTGCGAAGGACCTTCCCACCCGTTTGCTGTTGTTTTTTTAGAACTATGTGGTGTAAGTGCCAAGAGATCTTGCAGGGTCAACTGCTGCTTCTCACTGATTCTTGGGAATTCAAGAAACCAGTCCAACAAAGTGTCAGCAGGTTGATCATGGAGTTGATGTAAAACTACACTCTTTCGCTGAAGGATGCCGTTTGGGGGGGAAGAAAATGGATCACCCCATCCTAGGGGGGGGGGGGG